CGGGGGGTAGCGTCCCCGAGGTACCCGATTCGCTAATTTCGCATATGTCGAATATTATTGCCTTAGCTTTACTTTTTCGCGTTTTGCATTTGACTCCGATACAGCCTTCTGCTGTGGCGGCTTTGCTTGCGCAATCTCTTGGGTAAGTTCGAACACTTCTCGATGTTCGGCGAGTGATCATGCGGCGTGAATGCTCTTCCCTGGTCGCTGTTCGGCCAGTAATCCGCCCTTAGCTCCTATGAGGGGCGGGGTGTTGGGAGAGAAATGGTCACACAGGTTTACCTGTGTAGACTCTCGCCTAGTGCCGATTCAGACGGGTAAGGCGGCCTAAGTTAGTTTTAGGTCGCAGGGCGAGAAATGGCATCCCACTGTGTGGGAGGATCCGACTTTGGATCATCACTCCTCATGTGATCGCGCCGGACATCAAGATTTGCGAGGCTCCGGTCTTGTGCAAGCATTGTACGCGTCGCGTCACCCTCGACTCAGTGCCTTCTGCACTGACTCGCACTTGTTTCTTACTTTGAAAGAATCACTGCCTTCTGCACTGATTCATTTTGGTCCCCGTGGATCGGAGACTTCTTCTTTGATCCACTTTGGTCCGCGATAGTACTTGACATATGCGAACGAGTGAGTGTGTGGGAATGTGTGATAGCTAGCTAGCGAGCGTATTAGTTTATAAGTCGTCGTTGTTAGAAAGGGAGCCATAGCGAATTCCGGCTTCGTTCTGACTCCCTTTCGGGTCTCTAAAGCAGCAACCTCCTCGCGGTGAGACCCGGGCAATCGGTATCATCCTCGGTTCAGGAAATATTGAGAATTACAATGAATTTCTGGATCGAGGATGATACCGAGCAAATAGCTGCAAACTTTGTATTGTAACAAAGTATTTATTGTAAAAGTATGTGAAATTATACTATAAGTCGGGGCTCTGAATAATGTTTCGTTCGAAAATTGTTGAAATTGGTATTCCTCCGATTGGAGGTCCCTCAGGGGCTCGCTTGCGGGTGGGGCCCGCAAGTGAGTACGGGGCGTAGCGTCCCCGAGGTACCCGAGGCGCTTGTAGGTTGTTAGGGTTCTTAATTTAAGTTTGTTAGATTTCGTTGCGTCCATTTTCTCAAAAAATGCACCCGTGTGCTGGTTAGTTTGGCACTCGCGTGCTGGTTAGCTTGGCACTCGTGTGCTGGTCTTAGGTTTCCTAATTCGACTGGTCACCTATTTTGTGTTCACCCTAACTAGAATTCATTTATTTCAGGTTCATTACAGATATTATCATTCGTCGTGGGATGCGTCTTAGTTTCCATAATTTTCGCAAAAATTGCACTCGTGTGCGGGTTAGCTTGGCACCCCTGTGCTGGTCTTAGGTTTTCTATTTTGACTTGAATTCAGACTAACTTTAATTCAATCTTTTCAGGTTTATTACAGATATTATCATCCGCCGTGGGATTATCATCCGCCGTGGGATTTTCATCCGCCGTGGGATTTTCATCCGCCGTGGGATTTTCATCCGCCGTGGGATTTTCATCCGCCGTGGGATTTTCATCCGCCGTGGGATTTTCATCCGCCGTGGGATTTTCATCCGCCGTGGGATTTTCATCCGCCGTGGGATTTTCATCCGCCGTGGGATTTTCATCCGCCGTGGGATTTTCATCCGCCGTGGGATTTTCATCCGCCGTGGGATTTTCATCCGCCGTGGGATTTTCATCCGCCGTGGGATTTTCATCCGCCGTGGGATTTTCATCCGCCGTGGGATTTTCATCCGCCGTGGGATTTTCATCCGCCGTGGGATTTTCATCCGCCGTGGGATTTTCATCCGCCGTGGGATTTTCATCCGCCGTGGGATTTTCATCCGCCGTGGGATTTTCATCCGCCGTGGGATTTTCATCCGCCGTGGGATTTTCATCCGCCGTGGGATTTTCATCCGCCGTGGGATTTTCATCCGCCGTGGGATTTTCATCCGCCGTGGGATTTTCATCCGCCGTGGGATTTTCATCCGCCGTGGGATTTTCATCCGCCGTGGGATTTTCATCCGCCGTGGGATTTTCATCCGCCGTGGGATTTTCATCCGCCGTGGGATTATCATCCGTCGTGGGATACGTCTTAACTAATAAGTGCGTGCGACTTAGTTATTAAGTGCGTGCGAGTTAGTTAATAAGTGTATGTGAGTTAGTTTAAGATTCTTAACCTCTTGCCGTACTGTAACGGGTCCAGCTTTTAATAAAGATTTCTCTTTAGAATGAATATTATTTTGCTCTTACAACTTTATCTAAATTTCTCTTCTTTTCACCACAATATTTAATTGCTCAAGAAGTGTAGTCTCACAGTAAACTCAAATTTTTTTCTCCTTCTGAGAAATAATTACAATCGAGAAATTTCTAGTCATCATAAATTTAAAGAGAATGGTATGGCAAGGGGTTAAGTTCCCTCAGGGGCCCCCGACCCACGGGAGCGCCCGTGGGGGGCACGGGGGGTAGCGTCCCCGAGGTACCCGAGTCGCTAATTTCGCATATGTCCAGTAGTATTGCCTTAGCATTACTTTTTCGCGTCTCGTTTTTGACTCCGCCACAGCAGAAAGCTGTGGTGGCCTTGCTTGCGCAAACTCTTGGGTAAGTCCGGACACGTCTCGTTGTTCGACGAGTGACCATGCGGCATGGTGATTCGAACGCGGACCCTCCTGCTGGGGAGGCTCTCGCTTCGCGTATTCGCAATGTAAGACGTCCTTAGCTCTCTTTTGGGGGCGGGGCGCAGGGCGATCCGACTCATTGTAGGATGATCCAACTTTGGATCATTATTCCTCATGTGAAAACGGCGAGCATCGAGATCTGCGAGGCTCCTGATTTGTGCGAGCATTGTACGCGTCGCGTCACCCTCGAGTCAGTGCCTTCTGTACTGACACGCCTTTGTTTCTTAGTTTCGAAGAATCAGAGCCTTCTGCTCTGATTCATTTCGGTCCCCGTGGATCAGAGACTTCTTCTTTGATCCACTTGGTCCGCAATAGTACTTAACATATGCGAACGAGTGAGTGTGTGGGTGTGTGCTAGCTAGCTGGCGAGCGTGTGTGTTAGTTTATAAGTCGTCGTTGTTAGAAAGGGAGCCATAGCGAATTCCGGCTTCGTTCTGACTCCCTTTCGGGTCTCTAAAGCAGCAACCTCCTCGCGGTGAGACCCGGGCAATCGGTATCATCCTCGGTTCAGAAAATATTGAGAATTGCAATGAATTTCTGGATCGAGGATGATACCGAGCAAATAGCTGCAAACTTTGTATTGTAACAAAGTATGTATTGTAAAAGTGTGTGAATTTATACTATAAGTCGGGGCTCTGAATAATGCTTCGTTCGATAAGTGTTGAAATTGGTGTTCCTCCGATCGGAGGTCCCTCAGGGGCTCGCTTGCGGGTGGGGCCCGTGGGCGAGTACGGGGGGTAGCGTCCCCGAGGTACCCGAGGCGCTTGTAGGTTGTTAGGGTTCTTAATTTAAGTTTGTTAAATTTTGTTTCATCCATTCTCTCAAAAATTGCACTCGTGTGCGGGTTAGTTTGGCACTCGTGTGCTGGTTAGTGTGGCACTCGTGTGCTGGTTAGCTTGGCACTCGTGTGCTGGTCATAGGTTTCCTAATTTGACTTGTCACCTATTTTGTATTCGTACTAACTAGAATTCAATCTTTTCAGATTCATTACAGATATTATCATCCGCCGTGGGATTTTCATCCGCCGTGGGATTCTCATCCGCCGTGGGATTATCATCCGTCGTGGGATACGTCTTAATTAATAAGTGCGTGCGACTTAGTTATTAAGTGCGTGCGAGTTAGTTAATAAGTGTATGTGAGTTAGTTTAAGATTCTTAACCTCTTGCCGTACTGTAACGGGTCCAGCTTTTAATAAAGATTTCTCTTTAGAATGAATATTATTTTGCTCTTACAACTTTATCTAAATTTCTCTTCTTTTCACCACAATATTTAATTGCTCAAGAAGTGTAGTCTCACAGTAAACTCAAATTTTTTTCTCCTTCTGAGAAATAATTACAATCGAGAAATTTCTAGTCATCATAAATTTAAAGAGAATGGTATGGCAAGGGGTTAAGTTCCCTCAGGGGCCCCCGACCCACGGGAGCGCCCGTGGGGGGCACGGGGGGTAGCGTCCCCGAGGTACCCGAGTCGCTAATTTCGCATATGTCCAGTAGTATTGCCTTAGCATTACTTTTTCGCGTCTCGTTTTTGACTCCGCCACAGCAGAAAGCTGTGGTGGCCTTGCTTGCGCAAACTCTTGGGTAAGTCCGGACACGTCTCGTTGTTCGACGAGTGACCATGCGGCATGGTGATTCGAACGCGGACCCTCCTGCTGGGGAGGCTCTCGCTTCGCGTATTCGCATTAAGACGTCCTTAGCTCTCTTTTGGGGGCGGGGCGCAGGGCGATCCGACTCATTGTAGGATGATCCAACTTTGGATCATTATTCCTCATGTGAAAACGGCGAGCATCGAGATCTGCGAGGCTCCTGATTTGTGCGAGCATTGTACGCGTCGTGTCACCCTCGAGTCAGTGCCTTCTGCACTGACTCGCCCTTGTTTCTTAGTTTCGAAGAATCAGAGCCTTCTGCTCTGATTCATTTCGGTCCCCGTGGATCGGAGACTTCTTCTTTGATTCACTTTGGTCCGCATTAGTACTTGACATATGCGAACGAGCGAGTGTGTGGGAATGTGTGATAGCTAGCTAGCGAGCGTATTAGTTTATAAGTCGTCGTTGTTAGAAAGGGAGCCATAGCGAATTCCAACTTCGTTCTGACTCCCTTTCGGGTCTCTAAAGCAGCAACCTCCTCGCGGTGAGACCCGGGCAATCGGCATCGTCTTCGATTCAGAAAACATTGCGAATTGCAATGAGTTTTGAGTCGAGGATGATATCGAGCTAATAGCTGCAAATTTTGATGTTCTTTTTGATATTGATATCTTCTAATCGTAAATAATGATATTGTGCTGCTGATGTTCATTGATAATTAATTTGTAGGAATTTAATTGTGTCCCTTATATCGTTGCAATAGTGAAGCAATATCGGGTACAGCCAACGTTGCGACGAGAGTTAGGTGGCGTAGATAGAATATTTGTTTTAGTATTTATGCCAGTTGATATTTGGCAGCCGTGAACGGTACGCGGTCCTAGTTCTTTATACATTTGTTGAATTTATTGAAAATTCATTGTTCATTGATAAAACTGTCGTTCGTTGAAAGGTGAGCAGTTGGTTAAGTGAAAAGAGCAATTTTGTGGTAGGTCATACAGAACGTTTTATGCATTGTTTCAAAATGTTCGTATTTATAAAAGTCCCTAGTCCCTCATAAAAGTCACTAGGCGCCACAAAAAGATTTTTGAATATTTCTTGAAGAGGATAAGTGGGCAAGTAAAACTAATTCGTGAAGGTGAATTATAGGCAATGAAAGAGCAATTTTTTGAGCTATGTTTCATTAATATTGGTTAATATGGTGAGCCACTTCACCCGTGTTCATTTTTCTTGGGTGGCTCTTGGTAGCGGAGCAGAGTGGGGCGGAAAAGTATGAATACGCATGTGTGTACATATATATATGAGTATGTAGGATGTTTGCATGTGTGGCTGCTCCCATCATCGGTATACCCCAGTACCAGTACCAGTACCAGTTGAAGTAAAGTCTATTTGTGAACGACATTTTAAGAGAACGGAGTTTCATTGAACTTCTCCTTACGTTTTATGTCATACGCGGCGAATTTACAAATATTTCCTCAACTTGCAACCGAGGTTTGCATTCTACGTCAATTACGAAGTTAAAGCTTTCGTTAATTTCTGCTTGTTTCCAGCAAACCGGAACTCACGATGATGTCGAAGTTTTTACTACTCTTCTGCTTTACAACGCTTTACGTATTGGGTATGATTTTTCAAACGTTTAAAATCCTTGCCTCTCTTCTAAATAACAGCTAAGCTTGCCAATAAGACGCAATATGCAATAGGTTTTGTATGCTTTCTATTTGTAAACGCGTGTTGAATTTTTTTTTGCTGAACTTCAGTTCCACATATTTTGTATTTTTTCTATTATTTATAATCTCCTTATTGGCCACTATATTATTTGATAACCACACTTAATCTGTATCGCATATTTTTTTATTTAAATGAAAATCTCATTAACACAAAGAAATGAAGGTTAAAATATTCATATATCAACGATTTATGTTTTTTAAACGAAGTTGTCTTCAAAATTCTTTTGATTAGTGTTTTGCTGTTAGTATACTGTGTCACTTATTACTTATCTCTTAATTAAAGTCTTTTTCGCATGTATTTGCATACATAGGGATAAGTTTTCCTTTTCACAGTCGAGACTTTTCAAAAAATTTCTGTGTCATTAATATATATATATATACATGTACATGTATATATATATTAATGACACAGAAATTTTATATATATATATATATATATATATATATATATATATTGTGCGTGATTTTTACAATAGGTCATGTTCAAGGGAATGTTACTGCTATAAAAAATGAGTCTGTTCTTGCTGGTATATCTCAAAGCAACAATGCTGCACAGAGTTTCCAAGAACATATGGCCCTTAAGGCATCGATATCCGAGACTCCTATATTGGAACCCCTAGACCATGCTGATAAGAAGTCTCAGGAATTACCTATACCTATTACTGAAGCTCCTGCGAGTACTACTGTCAAACCAGTTCCAACCACATCGACCCATCCAAGTACTGCACCGTCGACGGATACCACAACTGTTGCCCCAACTACTTCTACTACAAGTACCTCAACTATACCGACTCCATCTAGTACTACAAGTGCCCCAGTTACTACAGTCAGCCCAGTGGTGTCTACCACTCAATTACCTTTCCTAAATCCTGGAAAATGGGTAGTAAGCGAAAACAATATAACCTGCATTGTGGTTCAGATGTCTGTACAGTTCAGTATTACTTATCCAAAGGCCAATAATATGGTTTGTACACAATGAGAATTTATTTATTTAGTTTGAACCAAAATTATCCACATTGATCGCAATATATGCAATAATAATTTCAGAATTCCTCTATATTAATTGATATGCCAGTTGACAATACAACCACCAAAGCAAATGGAACATGCGGCAAGCTCGAGCAAGTGCTCGAGTTGTCCTGGTCCAATAATGCAACTGCTGGTGACATGACACTGCACTTCATGAAAAATGAGACTACAAAACGCTATTCTCTTCACCATTTGGAGGTCAAATTTCCACAGAAAGACTTTCCAAACACAATATTGAGTGAGACCTTATAATTTTTTCAAAAATTTGCTAAACTCATGTGTTACCAGATACACGTACTATATTTTCCTGTCTTTACCAGATCAACCTATGGTTCTTGTACACGAGCCAACCACCTATGTAGCTGCATTAACAAATTCCTATAGATGCCTAGATAAACAGGAACTGAAGTTGAAGTTGAATGATACCTCCAAAGATACTGGCATCATTAGAATACTAGGATTACAGTTCCAAGCGTTTAAAACAGATAATTCCACAAATTTCGGTTTAGGTAAGTTGTAAAATTTCAGAGTAAAATAATTGGTTTTTGAAAGACAACACAAACCGGTCATACAATATTTTCTGAATGCCAATTTTTGTTGTATTTGTCCACGTATTAATATTCTATTAATTTTCTCATATTTCAGCCAAGGATTGCGAATTTGTTACACCCGACATTATACCGATAGCGGTAGGCTGTGCACTCGCATTATTAGTGATTGGAGTTTTAATCACATACTTGGTTGGTCGTCGGCGAAACCAAACTCGCGGATACCTTAGCATGTAATTTTTCTATTATTTTTTATCTCTTCTTTATTATGTCGATAATCTATGTTTATGTACTGCATGTTAATACCAAACAAATTACTGCTTTTTTCTTCATATTTTTTTTTAAACGTCAAAAGTTAATGTTCGGAAGAAAATTGTTTCGATTAAATCTTCTTTTCCGAATGAAAGGACTTTGAATCGAGTGTACCAGCGACGACGGTTTTATTTCGTAGAAATTGTCCTTCCTTTAGTTAATTACGTGTACAGGGAATTTTGTAATAATGATACTTTAATTTTGGTATACTGTTGCCTGATATATCCAACGGAAGCATTATCGGTCCATATGCTTTTCTCGTTTAGGATTGTGATTAATGTTTGCAGCATACGTTCTTTCATTTATGTTATATTGTGTAATTAGGTTGCTCGTCGGATATGATAAAAATATTTTTAGAAAATAAACATTGTAATTCGAAACTGTTCGAAGAACGAGTTATAATTAATATGAGTTATGTTCAACTGTTTTTGAATTACTAAATTTGCTATTTGTATTTTTCAACACTGACCTCGGTTCGGGAATTCGACATAATTGATACGATACATACACTGAACAAAGTATATACGTTTTACTGTGATAATACTTTAATGAGAATTAAATCGATTCAGAGAAGTATCAAATTCGTTGCTGAAAATCTGTTCATTTGTAAGAAGTTAACTTTCCCTATATATGAACTGCATCGTTTATTCGTCAAGATATGTATAATATATTTTACATTCTCTCTTTTTTTTAGTAGTAATAACACTAATACTTCTAGCAAAAGAAGAAATATTATACTATAAAATAGTGTCCGGTTTTTAAGTATAAGCCTGTCTTTATGAATAAAGAGCTTGGTTGCTAATAAATTACAATATATTTAACAGTTATGTCAATCATTATCATTCCTGAATACATTTTCTTTTAATTTCCTGCATAAGAATTCGAAATACTTATTTGAACTGTATTCGCGAAAAAATCTACTTCGCAGATATTAAACGCACGATCATCGAGTATTTCTGGTGAATTAGTTCATCGTTGATAAGGATATATGTAGATATACATACATTTCTTTTTATTATATGCGTATAATGTTGTCTGCCATGACATTCGTTTGTTTCGAAGGTAACTATGAAATTATAAATGTCGAGGCCGATTGTATGACTATAGAATTTGTTAGCAGATCATTGTAGGGACAGCCTATTGTGCATAGTGAAGACGTTATCTCTGTGTTCGGCTACAGGGATGTTCCTACCTTTACTGACAACGGGTGACATAACCTAACCTATGCACCTGCGTACAGTCATGTATTAATATCTCTACTGCTTTGTAAATAAATGAATACAGCAAGCAGGTTGTTACGGAAAATTCACACCACGAGTCTTGACATCTCTTTTAAAACCTGCAGTCGTGAAGCTAAGGTAAACGTTAATTATTCCCTTTCTTATTTTGTTTTTATTTGTCATGTGTGATTCTACATTGTGCAACGACATTGACAATAATTCTTCGGATTTTTGTCAATTTTTTGAAACCTTCTCGTCGATTTATACGCAATGAACTGTGACAGTTTAAATCCGTTACGTTCTACGTTTCAAATTTTAATGTACCTTGTGAATACTTTTAATTTCATAGTGGATAACTGTAAATTTCAGGTTTAAGCGTATATATGTATATGTATATGTATATGTATATATATACATATATATTTATTTATTTATTTATAATTTGGTTCTTTTCTGCGCGCTTATCAAAAATTTGCAAATACATGATTGATAATGCGTTCATGTAAAGACAGTTATGAATAATAATAGAACTAGTCGAATTGCAAAATTTCAAAATTAATACCGAATTATCCTAGTATATAGTTAAATGAAGAAATGAAGTATACAGAGAATTTATACAAGTATAAAATGATAAAATTATAAATGTGCAATGTTATAAATTGTCCACGTTATTTTTTAATAGAATTGATAAAATTGAAGTTGAAATCATTCGGCACGTACGTGATTGTCTTTACAGTATCTGACAAATTTTATATAAGTTAAAGGTATGTTTTACTAACTTGAACTTTAATACTTTCTCGTAGTTTAGGTTAAAAATATTTCTACAGAAAATTATCGTCAAGAAACAGTGATTACGTGAAATTTGAATTCTTTAATTTGCAATATTCCATAAAGGAAATGTGCAGGCCTCTATTTCTTTTTTTATTGTGTCCATCATTTTAATCGTAACAATGACAGATCTAGAATATTGTGTGTATTGGAAGTAAACTCCAATAGAGGTTAGGATCACCAATAATATCAAAGCAATAACTTAGA